CACCTACTTATCCATTTCGCTTCGCACTGCCGGGGCTGCAACATCGACTACCACCGGATCGCGTTTACTATGAAAAGGAAGATGGAGGAGGATCTCGACGTGTTGTTGGACGAGACGTTGACGCTATGCAAAACACCCCCCGTTCCGCGACGCAATCCGCATCGCGTCTTCTATCAGTACAAATGCAAAACATCGCCGCCCACGACGCCACCAAAGGAACCGGAGAACCCAGAGATGGAGATGAAAGGACCGCCCATGTTCCACTTTGGAGGACAAACCGAGTTGGTCCCTAAGCCCCTCTTCGCCAGGAGCAACTCGCTGCCGTCACAATCCGTCCGACCATCGCTACCATCTCGCCCATCCGAGCCTTTCCAGTTCAACGCCGACGACATCGTCAAAAGCCCGACACCTTTGTTCGGCAGGAGGAACACGCTGCCATCCAAGGTGCGACGCGCTGTTGCCGCCGAAAGAAAGCCATCGCCGTTGTCGCGCGGAGAGGGAGTGCGATCGTCGCAATCGGCCCACACCACCACCAAGGAGCCCACGTCACCAGCGCTGCCACGTAAGGAACCCAACACCACGCCGAACCCAAAAGCGAAAACCACCAAGTCGCAATTCGCGACTCCGCAGAGGACCCCCCGTGTTGTCGACATCAAAAGACCATCACCACTTTCTGGCAAGGGAAGTGCGCGACGACCCGGTCCCACCCGATTCGCTCCTGTGGAACCCCCATCGCCGATAGTACTGTCACCCGTCATCTCCAACAGCTCTGCGACTTCATCGCCATCGCCATCTGTCTTCTCCGAAGCGGCCAGTTTCTCTGCATCGAGCCCATCAACACCTGCCACGTCACCACCTGGCTCTCCAATGGTGCCAACAACACACGCTCGCTCGCAGTCGCTAAGTTATTTCCCGCCGTCTCATTGGACCATCAAGCCCTCGCCTTCCCCGATCTACGTCCCCAGGCAAAAGTTGAGGAGGAAGGACAGTCCCAAAATGGAGACTCTTCGCACACTAAGAGCGAAGGAGTCGGACATGATGCTGCAACAAATTTACGACCAACATTGGGAAGCATACCGCGCAAAACTACTTGTAAGTTCTGCCAACGCACCTTCCACGCAGCACTCGCTAACCTGGCGTAGAATATGACTAGCGGACTCCGCGCTGCAGAGCGACTTTAACGATCACGATTTATGACTTAACGACTTCAAGACGAGGGCATGCATGGCGTCACACGGCATCTGATTATAATACCCCGGGTTTGGATATATGGGCGCATTTAGAAACCGATTTGCATTTACGGTCTGCATTCACGGTCACAAGCGTTTTAACATATGGGTATACACTGTAATCTAATAGAGCACAGGGCACTACAGCCCTGGTTTGATTCCAACATAATCTTCGTCGACGACTCTGAGCGAGCGAGCGGCGCACCCTGTCGTGCTGCGGAGCCTCAGCTGCACGCATGCAGAGCTTACATCACCCGCGTCTGGCAGCTGACCTTGATAGCACGCAGCCCCATCGTGCGGCGCTAGTGATTGGTTGACACATCTGACAAGCGCAGCAGGCAGCCTCACCAGGCCTTAGCTGCCTATTCTCCCCGCTGCACCCGCCACCTGACATTTGTTCACCAACTTTACTCCTTTTGGAGATGCAACTCGCAACACATGAACTCCCAAGGTAAACGTACATTGTCTGTGCTATATCCAGACCGCCTGCGCCGCACATCCGTCGTGGCGCAGCGCGTAGCCTTGTTCTGTGTAAAGGTGGGCCTGATCTAGCTACCATAGGCTAAGCAGGCGCGTAAGATGGCCCCCAAATGGATACCCATATGCCTCGAGCGTTCTCCATGTTCGCATTGACGCGGAACAGCACATCAAACTGTAGTTATGTGGGGGGTGTGGCACAGGACTTATAGGAAGCTTGTTCCCACTTCCCGTGGTTTTCGATGATTTTCTGGTAGCATTCTGAAATCGCGTTTCTGCCCTGGTGGCACGTCATTTGTTTCATACCACAAAGCGCAGCCTTGTAGACAGCCTTGGGACCTTTCTGCAGACGACTCAACATCTGACTCACGCCTCGTCGTTGCCACTGTAACACGTATCGATTTGGAAGAAGCCGCCTCGTGCCAGTCATACGTATGAGTCGGAGGCGGGTTTAGTGTTTGACTCTACAACTTCAGTGCAGTATCCTACACTCACAAGCAAACGTCTGGCGACTGTATTCAAAACACAGTATACCATCGCCGTTCACGAAAACCCCGGATCGCCAGAAACTGATACTGACGACACCGACATCTGTTGCCTTTCTCGGCGCCAACAACCATGGAATCCTCGAACCCAGAGAGAAATGACAACGCGCCGCTACGCTTGCTCTCGCTAGATGGAGGGGGTGTACGGGGCCTGTCGTCTCTGTTGGTACTTCAAAACCTGATGGAGAACATAGCCTTGGAAGAGAAGAGGTTAGGAAGGAAAGCCATGAACGACCACGAACCGCTAAAACCGTGCGACTACTTCGACCTTATTGGAGGCACATCAACGGGTGGCATAATAGCCATCATGCTGTCACGATTGCGACTCGATTGCAAAACCTGCATCGCTGTATACAGTAAATTAGCGGAGCAAATCTTCAAGCACGATCGATCAATAAAGGCATTTGGCATGAAGATCCCCACAGGAGCTAGTCGGTTTTCCGGTGCCGTTCTCGCAAATGCCATCAAGTCTGCGTTGAAAGACCTTGGCTTCGATCCAGATGAACTGATGTGGGATGAGGCGCTTTTTGAAGAAGTGGATGAAGCGGCTGATCTACCCAGAGACAGCATCTGGGCAGATGCGCCGCCAGCGCCGGTAATCACAGAGAGTCCGGTCGGCACACTCAAGAACTCGCTATGCTCGTTGGAATCAGGCCCTCCCGAAAGTGTCGATAGCACGAAGAATCTGTCTACACTCTTTAGCGACAGTCCGTTCGGCCCGCGAAAGCCAATGCGAAGCGCTACTTGGAAGCTGCATCACCGGCAATCAGTTCACAAAAAGGCAAACGCAAAGGGGTGCCGCGGCTTTGTACTTACTTCCCTCAAGAACGCGTTAGGCCTTCCCCGAATCCTGTCTACTTACGACCCCAATGACCGGACGACGCGCATCTGGGAAGCGTTAAGAGCTACATCCGCAGCACCGACCTTCTTCGAAGAGATGCAATTCGGCACACCCAAAGTCACTTATCTAGACGGCGGCGTAGGCTTCAACAACCCATGCGCAGAAGTCGACTACGCGGCAAAAGCACTCTGGGAAGGCCGCTCCATCGGTGTCATCGTCTCCGTAGGCACCGGTCTACAAAGCATCCCCAGCGTAAAGAAGATGGCATCGTGGCTGCCCTTCGGCCTTGGAACAGACATCTCCATAGCCAGCGCGCTCACGGGCATGGCAACAAGCACCGCACGCGTCGACAACGAAATGAAGCGCATGTACAACAACTCCGACACCAAATACTTCCGCTTCGACGTCGACCGCGGCCTCGCAGACGTCAGCCTCGAACAATGGATGAAAGAAGACGAAATGGCCTCCCTAACCGAACTCTACATGAACGACGGCGAGCAAATCCGGTCCGCCAAAGACTTCGGCCAACGCATGGCCAAACTCTCCGCCCTGCCCCCCAAATTCGAAATCAGCGCTTCCCACTTCCGTCTAGGCATGACCGGACGCGGCCTCCTTGATTCCTCCTTCCAACTCGCGCAGGTTGATTTTAAAACGGGTATGCCGTTAGGCATTTCCCCGCACCTCGACGATATACCGCGTATGTCTCAATACCGCGACCTCTCGCCCAGTGGCGAAAGCGGACTCGCTCTCGACAACGCAACCGGCCGCCTCAAACGCATCTTTCCCGTAGCCGAAGATCTCGATCACGATGGCCGCCGCGAAGAAGCCGCCGTGTACCAATGCATCAAAGCCGACAACATCTGTCTCCGCACGATAAAAACAGGTATACCGCAGGGCAAATACAAAGTCCAGTTCCTCGTCTCCTTCCACAACAGCACGCATACACCACCTCGAGATCTTGTCTTCAGTGTCGGGAAACCGTTTGATCCGTCGACCTTTTCGCAGCGCTATGTCGATGTCAAGATTACGCCGGATGTGGGGAGTGTGCTGTTGCATCCTGACGCTGTGAGGGTCAGGGTCGGGTCGAAACGGTATGAGGAGCTCAAGGGAAAGGGGTGGGCGGAGATTGAGGGGGATATCGAGGTTAGTGTGGGGTTAGACGGGGCGTTGGGGTTTATTGTTAGTAAGAAGTATGAAGATGGTGTGTTTGTGGATGGATGGAGTTTTGGTGGTGTGAGGCTGGAGCCGGTGTTCGGGACGGCGGGTGGGGTGGTGACAAGTCCGAGGATTTTGACATGATTAATTGAGCGGGCGTTATGGGAACGCTGTCTCGGCGAGTGGTTGGTAATCGCTCGTCGACTTTCGATGTGTACAAGCTTTGTTTCGATTCTCTTTGTCGGGTGTCTGGAGGAAGTTATGACGAGCGCAAGGTTTTGAGGTAATGTTTATCAGACGAATTATAGACCATGTAGTTTACGTGTCATAGCAGCGAAGCGCATGTTTGTTCAAGGAAACAAGAACTTTTATTGAACTGTCTACTGTTTCTATTATTGAGACACACCCTATGCAAACACCGAACAGTGCCGATACGTGTGTTAAAGAGCGACGATAGTTGATATTATCGTGTGACGACAAGCCCTACGATTGGCTTGGCTAGCGTTGACCAGTGAGATCCATTCGACGGTGTCTGCATGTATCAGGAGCGAGATCCCGATGCTCAGAGTGTGGGGGAAGCAGTCGGGCAGGTGGTAACGCTGACGGTGTTGAAGACAGTGGTAGGCACGCTGGTGGTGGAGGTGATCGTAGCAGAGGCAAGAGTGAAAACTGTCGCTGTAGCGGTACCGGAGACGGGTGTCGAGGTACTATAATTGATAAGCGAGTGCATGACGGAAGCAAGGAATACAGTACTTACATGGTAACGGTAGTCCTGGCTGTGGCCGTCGAAGTCGCAGTGACTTGAGCCTGAGTGAATGTGAAGTCAGGACCGAAGAAGCCAGCACGCTTCTCCAACTTCGCCTTGGAGTCGTCAACCGCGGCACGCTTGTTCAGCTTCACCTTGGGAGCGGCAAACGCGACGCGCTTGCGGTGAAGCTTGAAGGTGGAGCAGCCGGAGAGCTTGCGTCCTCCAATGATGTTCGAGTTAACGCGGACGTCACCGATGCTTCCCTTCATGTAGCAAGCACCAGGCTTGCCAATGACCCAGGAAACATTGACACAGCCAGTAGTGTTGTCACAGGCTTGGAGACATTGCTCGTAAGTGTCGGTGTACACGAGACCGTTTTCAACTAGATACAATATTAACTTGTGTGCGTTGTAACGATGAACAGGGGAACTTACGGTCATTGCCGAAGCGGTCAGAGCTGCACTCGACAGCATATACTGCGCCACATGACGTTGTGACCATGGAGCCATTGGAACCAGGGCAGCTAGTAGCGCCTGTTGGGCTCGCAGCAGGAGCGCTCGATGATGCAGCAGGAGCACTCGATGATGCAGCAGGAGCACTCGATGATGCAGCAGGAGCACTCGATGATGCAGCAAGGGTGCTTGATGGTGCAGCGAAGACGCTAGCAGGTGTGCATGCGCACTGGTATGCTGTGTTGGAGATGGTCGTAGTGACAGTAACGGTAGAGGGTCCGGGAGCGGGCGCAGCTGAAGTGACTGGAGCTGAGCTTGCTGCTACTGCCGAAGAAGAAGAGGAGACAGAAGAGGAAACACGGGATGAGGTAGACACAGGCGAGGAGGCTGCCGCGGATGAGGAAGCAGCCATGGACGAGGAGGCAGGTGCCGCCGAGGGTGCGGCCGCAGACGAAGAAGCGACAGCAGACGAAGAGGCAGGTGTCATCGAGGATGCGGCCGCAGAGGAAGAGGCAGGTGCCGCCGAAGAAGCACTAGTTGCCGACTTAGTTGAGATGCTGCGGACCAGTCTTCCACCAATAATGTTGCTGTTCGAACCAGCAGCGTTGGCTGCGCTCTTCAGGTAGCAAGGACCGTTAATAATGTAGCTGGCAGCGACACAGCCTGAAGTGGTAGAACAGTCTGCCAAGCAGCCCTCGTAGGAGCTGGGGTAGGTCGGGCTCATTGGGCCCGGAATATCGCCACCCTGGTAGTCGGCACCGCACTCGACTAGATATTGCATGCCGTTGACAGTGACCATGGAGTTGTTGGAGCCAGGGCAAGAAACACTAGCGCCTGAACTGGCAACAGGGCTGGAAGATGAACTTGCGGTGACGACTGTGGTGCTGACAACTGTGGTCGTGGCGACTGATTGAGAGGAAGCGCCTGCAGAAGAAGCGATCATCGAAGAAGATGAAGACACAGGAACTGATGCAATCCTAGCACCCCAGACACCACCGTTGGACCTAGGCGCACCGACACCGCTCTTCAAGTAGCAAGGGCCGTTTGGCAGGTATGAAACGGCCTGGCAGCCAGAAGTAGCTCCGCAAGCTTGGATACACTGCTCATAGTTCGCAGGGTTACCAGGCGCAACACCGATATCGGAGTTAGTGCGGTCGATGAAGCACTCGACGACGAAGTCTCCTTGAGGGGTGGTGAACGTGGCACCATCGCTCGCGGGGCAGGACAAGGCAGACGCAGATGGCGACGCGCTGGCTGAAGTGGGGGTGACAGAGCTTGAAGTGATGGCAACAGAGCTTGAAGCAGGGCTTGACGAAGCAGGGCTGGAAGAGGCTGAGCTTGAAGCCGGGCTTGAAGAAACAGAACTGGAAACACGGCTTGAAGAAGCTGCGCTCGAGATAGGGCTTGAAGAGGCTGAGCTCGAGACAGGAGTTGAAGCGGCTGGGGTAGATACAGGGCTTGAAGAAGCGGAGCTCGAAGCAGGGGTGGAGGCTGCTGAGCTCGACGCAGCGCTTGAAGAAGCGGGGCCCGATGCAGGGCTCGAGGAAGCAGAGCTGGATGATAGGCGCGCAGATGAGCTAGAAGAAGCGGCCGAGGATGATGCGGCCGGAATGGAGCTCGGTGTCGGAGTAACCGTAGTCACACTTAGGACGGTGGTAGTAGCGACGGAGGCTGAAGAGGGCGATGGGATAGGAGACGGTGAAGCGGATGAGCTGGAAGAAGCGGACGAGGGCGACACGATGGAAGCGGAGCTCGATGGAGTAGCCGTAGTGACGCTTACCACTGTGGTGGTGACAACAGAGGCTGAGCTTGGCGAAGGGATCGCGGAAGGTGTAGAAGATGAGCTCGGGACTGGTACGGCGGATGAGCTTGGCAAGGGAATGGAAGACGCGATTGAGGACGAGCTCGGCGAGGGGATAGGAGGAGGCGAAGCAGATGAGCTTGATGACGGGACAGAGAAAGGTGAAGAGATTGAGCTCGGCGTTGGCGTGACTGTCGACATGACGACCGTGGTGGTAGTAGACACTTGTGCCGACGATGATGGTACAGCCGGAATGGAGGATGATCGGGAAGACGATGGCACAATGGGTGCTGGAGAAGAGCTAGAGGAACTCGGTCGAATGGATGTCGGGCAGACAGTGAAGGTCTGTGTAACTGCACTGGTGACCGGGAATGTGGAAGTAGCGATGTTTGTCTGTGTACTCGTGGCAGAGGCGGAAGAGACTGTAGTAGTCGCCGCAGGCCTGACAGGTGCGAACGCAGTGTTGGTAGCAGTCGAAGTCGTCTGAACGACGCTTGTAGCGACAGTGCTTGGGGAAGGCTGGTCGCCGAACGCAGCAGTGAAGGCACGGGGAGTGGCAGCGAACGGGTTAAGGAACGCATAGTTATCGATCGTATAACGGCCCATGTTGACCCAGTCGTAAAGGTCGGCATCCTGACAGAAGATGCCTGTATAGGTTGCCGGCACGCCTTGGGTCTGGTAAGTGCAGGTGCGGGTGTACAAGAGCAACGGGTTGGAAATGATGGGCGTGAATGTAGGCCTGGTTCCTTGATAACAGGTAGAAGTACCAGACATATAAGTCACCTGGATACCGAAGTTGTCGCCAGATCCAAAGCTATGCCTAGCTCGATCATAACTGAAGGTTGGGGTGGCCGACCCAATGAGGGACGGCAGACCCGCGGCAACGAGCGAGCAGCCTGACATGTCGGCTGGCTACTGGGGATCGAGCAAATGTAGGAGAAAAGCGAGCGTGCAGAACGAATGATTCCTGACTACAGAGAGCAGAGGGAAGCTCTTTTATGAACCCCTACCTTGCAGCTACGCGGCTACTCAATATGATGAGTTCATGGAGCTTAGAAGGGTTAAAAGACCCTGAACCACCAACCAAAATCGAAGGCTATGGGGTTACTCCGACAGGAGGGTTCTCCTCACGATCGATATTCGATATGTAAATGAGGGGCCGGTTGGTGAGGCATTGGAGCATGCCATCGCTTCCACCTGGGTCGCACGGAGGGAACGCTAAACATCTTCCCGAGCAGGCTGAAAAGATGCACGAATGTTTTCGCGATTGGGAGTGTTGTGCGTCTAGGTACACCTGTGTTCCTGAGGTGCGGTGTGTCGTTCATGGCACGAAACCCTTCCAAGCCTGGAAGACGCGTTTGACAGCACGGACCCCCACTAGACGTTTAGCGCAGGGGCGCTGTCGTCATCATGCCCGTTCACCCAGTCCGGCTCCATCTCGTCTCGAAAGGCTCACAGTTACATCCTCTGTCATGACTTCTACTTTCGATATGGATTTCGGTTTGGTTGGGCTACCGTTTTGAGTACTGTATGTGCCATCTTGCTCGAAGAAAAATCTCTCTATTACCCAAGAATCCAATTTGCCAAACGTACTCCAGTCTCGAAGGGTCTTTCGCCGAACATCGCATCATGAACGATCCCTGCGTCTCTGCAACCTTTCACGTAGGTTGGTAGACTAAAGGAAAACCACAAAACCACCCATATATAGCCCGCATACCTTGCTAATGCAGGTCCAATATTGTCATGGCCGGCCCCTCGGTACCGTGCCTGAACAGCCATCCATTGCACAACACCCTCGATGGTGATAGCTACCGGCTGCGACATGAAGAATACGAGTTCTCCCATGTCTCTACGCGTTCCCATAAACATTTGGAACTCGTGCACTAAGCAGCTAATTGCGAAAGACACATAGAGTTGAATTAACCCCGATGCGAGACTGCCTTTCCGGAGACCCAGGAGGCGCACAATGCGAGCTGCGGGTTGCGAGACCATCTGCAATAGACATTTGCGTTAGCGATGCTCGCATACCGCACGGTGGTGGAAAACTTGGAAACGATGTAAAAGTGGAATGAGGAGTCAATCCCGACTTTACCTTTCTCATTGTTTGGTGATAGACCACACTCCAGACCTGTCTCACAGACCACGCATCCCTCAACTTTCCCATTAGCGGGGGCCATTGCCACGTTTCGCATACCCCGCATGCAACGGATCCAGCCGCCATGAAGCTGTAAGCGAAGTTCAATCTTTCCCAGACCCATATCGCACCGGACCAACCAATGAGTGCATCGACCATGAGGTGATAGGGGTGGGCTTCCGATGACAGCCGTACCTCCGCGACTGAGTCCCACCCGAGCAGTAAGAGCATGGCCATAGACCGCAAGTACGTAATCATCATCTTATGGACATGTCTGCCCACAAAGGCCCGTTTCGAAAGGCCCTCGTACGGATCGTCAGGAACGCCTTTGACCTGCCAGTTCCAACCAATACCACGATGCGACGGAACCATGAGTGAACACACCCTGAGAACTTTCTGCCATGACAGGTACATTCCATCCAAGGTTCTCGCGCTCCTAGTGTCGCTGCGCTTCGGGTTTCCAATGTATGCAGGGGCATCGGGCCCTTTCTGTGGAGCCAAAATGGCGAATTCGAGGAACCAGAGAGGCACAGCAATGAAGAACGAGCTGTTGTAATAGTCGGCAGAGGGGTTACCGAAGGTATAGCATGGTGACCTAAGGCATAGGTCTAGAATCAGTGGGAATATGCAAATGGCGATCCGACGTCGGCTGGGAGAGAGGAACGGGACGATGGTAAGGACAAAGATCAGTGGTTGGTAGAGTGGCGGCATGGGCTTTCGGTCGGCGAGCTGTGGCCAAGCGTACCAAAGTGGCGTCATTCTCTCCATCGTCTTCCGCATGTTGGTGTTAATAGTTTCAGGAATAGCCATTGTCACACTTCGCGGGCTACAGGAAGAAGTTCCGGCGGGGCTCGCCAATTTGTGAAGTCGCATTGATCAGGCCACCAGCCTTGGACCGCGTCGAAGGATCCGAGCTGACGTAAACTCTGCCTGCTAACTAAAGCAAGCACTATTGCTATGGCCCGTTTCCTAGGTAAGGCTAGGACAGATAGCTTTCCTCGATCTCCCATCCTCTTCTTCGGACACCCTCATTCTCACATGCTTTCCACGTATCCACCATTGATACCAACTTAAGCCTAGTCTCTTTATTCACGATAGCTCGATCCTCCTTCAACTCGTCCCCCACGAGTTGAACTAGTGCCCAGGCAACTTCGACCTTCAACAAGTCCGGTGCTGTCAACCAGCTCAACCTCGTCTTACGAATGTCGCCTACGTAGATCGCTGTCAATATGCGATTGTTCTGGAGACGATCGTGCAGCAGATCGTGTTTATCATAAATGTATAGAGATGTGCCGAATCGCTTTTCACCCCTTCCGCTGCCCTTAGAAGACACGATGTCAGTGGCAAGGTAGGCATTCAGGTCTCGAAGGGCTTGATGGTAGACTGGCTGGCTACTCAACTCATCGATGATCGCCTCCAGCTGACCGGCGAAGAGCGTGCATTTCTGCACCCGAGTCTCTTCTCCTTCATCGCGGGAAGGCCATGGATAATCGAGCAGGAGAAGACGCCAGGGAAAGGTATCAGGGAGGACCGAGGGTTCCCGGGCGGGGTCGCGCTCCCATCGTTGGTTGCGCAAGTTGTTTACGTAGGACACCATCGCCATCAGGATCGGTCTGCCGTGTCGTGACCACCAAAACTTTGCGATATATTTGCCACTTAGCAATCTATTGTAGAAGCCTTTCGTAAGGCTGGTGTACGTTGGCCCGTCGTTAAATATAAACGTCGTGAAAATATTGAGACATTGTTCTTGGATGAGTTTCGGTGTAAGAACTGTATCGTCGGAAGAGTCCACCGCGTGTTCTAGAAGTTCGATGAAGTCCGCAGAAAAGCGACCATTCCGGAGACTGCGGTCTTGCCCAAATAGTCGTATCCATGTTTGAACTTCGGGAAGTGAAGCTAGTGCAGGATCAGCGACAAGCCCGTCATTCATGGCTCGCAAAGATGCCGGAGGTCCGATGATGAAGCACAGGTATTCCACATATTCTTCCAGTATAGTATGCGGAACATGAGCTGGCTTCTTGTTGTTCTTGTTTAGTAGCAGCCTGTTCACGTACGGGTCTCGCGGGATGGATGGGATGCGAACGTCCATAAGTAACGCATCTTCAAGACCGTACTTTCGGAGAAACAATGCTGCCCATCTCGTCGTATGGTCTCTAAGGGTCTGCAATACCGGCATCAAGACTCGGTCTACGAATTGCTGGAACTCGACCGTATCGTCCTTCTTGTTACAGAAATATTGGATCAGAGCCGCCAAAACCGGTGATTCTGACCCTTCCTCGAGCGAGATGCTGGCCTGTATCTCGGGGAGCGTAAGGTCCTGTTCGCACTGCAGCCACTGCGCTTCGTCCAGGGGCTGTCTTTCGTTCAAAGATCCGGCTATTGGTATGAACAACTCCAGGAGAGTAAGTACTGCGCGAGACTGGTCTCGAGAACCACTTTGAAGCAGTACTAGGAGGCTCTTGACGATGTTGAGCCGGACGTCAACATGTGTGTTCATTTTGGAAAGTGTCGATAGCACTGAAAGTGCATAGTCTGTTCCATTCAAGTCACGGTCCTGGAAAAGCTGAACCAACATCTTAATCGTAGTGACTTTTACGTGCGGCTCGCTAGTGAGTGGCGCGACATTGCCGTCGGCTGAAATTTCTTTATTAGTGTTCTTGGCCTGTACCATGCTGATAATCTCGTCGGAAAGAGATTGGATGCAGGATCTGGCTTGCGAGGCCGGGAGTCTTCGGAGGAAACTCGGTTTTAGTAGGATCCGATGCCACGAGCTGGACTTTGGCCTATCCAGGATTGTACGGACAGCTGACTGCGTGGCCAAGCCAGGTCTATCACTTTCGCCCAGTCGAGCAATGAGCTGCATAGTGACCTCATGCAGAGCTGTATGGCTGTCGGATTCTTCAACTGTGTCCGCATGATCAAGAGCTTTGACGAGGTTTCGTGAAAGCTGTGCCAGCAATGTAGGAGGTATCGTATCGAGATGACCGTGTATGGCTCTGGAAGCTGTAAACTGATTTGGCTCATCAGAAGTGAGGAACTCTTCGTCCAAGTATAAAGCCGGGTATCGCGTGTCTGTTTCCGAAGGAAATGGAGTCGCTAGAAGGCGGTCGCTCTTGACGAATTTCGCGTCGAGATACAGCAGAGCCGATAACACGCCACCTTCTCCCATATCGCGCGATGAACTCCAGATAAGCCTAGCGTCCTCTTCGTAGCCAGGAACTTTAACTGGTGCTGCAACAATGGGAAAGTTCACACGGCTTCTTGAAGTCATGATTCTCGATACGCCAACTGAGAAGTCCACATAAGTCGGTGCATCAAGTTCCCGCTCGACAAAATCCGGTTTTGTCGCAAAA